AACATTTAAAAAATAAATAAATAAATAATAAAACATAACAAAAGAAGCTCATGAGAGCCCACCGGAAAGAGATGGGAGTAACCCAGGAAGGCTCCCTGGGGTGGTGGCAGGAGCTGGGTGGAGGCCTGATCCCCAGTCATGAGAGACAGGGCCCGGAGAAGAGAAGGGAAGGTAGGATCCTCTCCGCCCACAGGTCCCAGTGACAGCCGGGGAGACCGAGGTCACTCCCTCCAGGGCCAGCGCTGTGCCCCAACACCCACCAAGGACCTGTGTCACCAGGTTAAAAGTGGAAAATGTTCAGCCCCCCCCCTTTTATTTTTTTGCCTTGAAGAAAATCCTAGGACCAAATAAGGCCTGGGCTGCGGGGAGCCGGGTGAGCTGGCCAAGTCCTCCCAAGCAAGCGAGTGGCGGGGGGGCGCGGGCCACCCGCACCCGGCCTCCAAGACTCGCCCGGCAGGAGGGCGGGTGCAGCCCAGGAGCTATAAGGGCTCCCCTCTGCCCTGCTCTGCTCACTCGCCCCGGCCCGGCCCGCAGCCTCAGCTCCTGCCGCAGCCCCTGCGCCCTCGCCCGCGCCCCACACCGCCCCGCCATGGAGGCCATCAAGAAGAAGATGCAGATGCTCAAGTTGGACAAGGAGAACGCCATCGACCGGGCCGAGCAGGCAGAGGCCGATAAGAAAGCTGCCGAGGACAAGTGCAAGCAGGTGAGGTGCCCCGTGCTGGGCGGCGCCGGGCGGCTGGGCGCCCTCTCTGTGCTGTGCTTCCCGGTTTCCAAAGCCGAGGGTCTGGGTCCAGATGGGGGTGGCAGAAACCCTGGTACCTGGGGGCTCGGGTGAGAAGCAAGGTTGATATTATGGAGTCAGAGGGGGGACCACTGTCGACCCTGGAGGAGGGTCTCCGGGCTGGGACTGGCGGAGAGCTGGAGCCATCGCCCGCAGGGCCAGTGGGAGCTACAGATTGTGTTAGAGAGGTGTGTGGGTGTGAGAGCAGGTGAGAAAGGGAGGGGCGTTGTGTGTCGTGGACAGTGTGTGTCCCAGTGTAATTAAGTGTGCTTATGCTTTTTATTTTAAGAGAGATTTTTGCTATAGGGTATATGCACTCGCCAGAGAGAGAGAAACAGAGACAGAGAGACATAAAGCAAGAAATCACCCCCCCCCAGCGGGGATGGCCACACCACAATCCCTTCTCCTCTCGGCTTTAAGCCCCCAGGTCCTGGACTGGAACCACGGCTGACTCCATGAGAGTCCAGCGACCTAGGCATGACGCCGTCTGTTGGTCCCTTGCTTAAGCATATCTGTGTGCACGCGTGTCTGTGTGTGTTTGGGCTGGAGAGAGAGAAGAGCCGTGAGGACAACTGTGAGGATGAGGGTGTGCGACAACGCCCGGGGTTGTCGGAAAGTGGGTGTGAAAGCGGGCGTGTTTGGGAGTCCCTGCGTGTGGGGGTAGTGTGGTCTTGTGTGGGTCTGTGTGTGTGTGTGTGTGTGCAAAAGCCAGTCGGACAGCAATCGTACGTGTCGGGGCTGTGTGTGGGCATGCATGTGTGTTGGGTGCGGGGGTTTTCCTGTTGCTGTGTGTATGCTGGGGTGACTGTTTCGTGTGTGT